AAGCATCATCTGAACCGTGTTATTCAACTCAGAGGATATTCGATATGGATGAAATATGTGTCTTTTAATCTTTGCTCTATTGTCGTTACACGACAATGAGCAAAGAGGGGCAGCTGAAGACACTAAATTTCATCCGCCTCAATTAATATTATATAATATTATAAAATATGTTATATGATATATATATATTTACAATTTATTTTGCTTATATACAGGCCCAAATGCTATCCAGTAGCCTGTTACACCCCAAACCAGCATGCGCACGACGCCGTTCTCCCCTTCAACGAGGACTCTCCATGCTGTCCGAAACTTCTGCCGGTTCCCTCGCCCCACGCAACCAATTTCCTCGGCAATGAACAACAAGCAGTCAAGAGTCACTCAAGCACTCAAAAATCGAAGAAGTTGAGTCCAAATCGGACTCTAAAAATAGCCAAATTCGAGGCTATAAATCACATGTAAAATATAACACAAAAGGGGAGGAGAACCCAGATCCATTCGAAACAAGTTACACAAAAAATTCATTCGAAAAAATAGAGAGAAGACCGAAAGCAAAGAACCCGTGACCTTTAACAGTAGATCTATACCGTTTGGAGGTGTTCCTTGAAAAACCAAGGCCAGATCCAAGTTACCGGTGTCGAAAATGACATACCTTTAAAGTTTGGCGTTGAACGGCTACCAGATAACGGCGACAAACGAAGTTCCTTCCTTTCCCGATGAGAAAGCAGCGAAGCACCCACTCTCTGTTTTTAATCTTTGGTAACAAATGTTTCATTCCTTTTTTGGTTTTGAATTTGCACAATGACAAATGCATACCTATATATTAAAACTAGTGGGCCATTATTGTTTTTGTGTTGTGTGTATTTAAGGTAATATACACATTTTACATATTTTATTATTGATTTCGTGCGGTGTGCATTTCATATAATATTAACATTATTTTTTGTGCGTGCATTTCACATTATATATATATATATTTAATTATTTTGCAGGTTAGTTGTCCAATTGTGCATTTCATATTCCTTTTTTTTTTTGTGCCTTATGTGTTTCATAATATATATATTGCATGATAGTGTATATGCTTTCCCTCAATAATACATGTGGTTTATTGTTATTATTTTTAGGGTAGATGTAGGAAGATAGTTGTGATATTTTTTATAATACTTTTAATGTTTTTAGGGGTATTTTTATCAATTGAATGTAAGTAACTCGAATTGGATTTTTAAAATTTCTATTTAAATTTTTAATATTCGCAATTAAAGACAACCGACAAATTAATTGGTACCGAAAGGGCGGTTCAAGGGTGCTAATCCTTCCTTGACCGTAACCGACTCCCGAACCCGACACATTTCTGGTACAACGCAGATCAGGTAAGATGGTGTCCGACCCACCTAAATTCGTTTTAAAATGGTCGATGGCGACTCTAACCCATTTAATCCAAGTCGAAGCCTAATTCTGGGCCCAACCGAAAGACGGTTCTGACACATATTAATATTATATTATATTTATATATTGGGTAAAGTACATAAATGGTTTCTGATCTCTCGACTATAGGGTATCATTTTGTTGAATTTAGATTACTAAAAGTTATAAAATGGTCATTCAACTATATGGTGATGCTTTATTGAGTATTTAATCATTATAAATATTCACTCAACTATCTATGTTCCAAACACATTCTTTTCCTTTAAAAAATTGACAACAATCAATGTTAGACCTTAACTTCTGAACGTCTAACTCATACGATCATCAATTTTTTATAAAAAAAATGATGAATTTGAAACATATAAATAATTAGGTAATCATTTTATAACTTTTAATAGTAAAAAGACCTAATAAAAAATATCATATAATTTAAATACTATTTTATAACTTTTAATAATCAAGATATCAACAAAATAACATCATCTTTGTAATACCCCAGATTTTGGATAGTGACCAAAATGCAAATTTTAAAAGTTAAGTGACCAAAGTATAAACTATGCAAAAGTTTAGAGACTAAAATTATAATTTTAAAAAGTTGTAATTTGGCCCCGTAAATAAATAGTTTACCTCAAGAATGACAAATTTATAGGAATCAAAATATTCGTACAGATTTTGTATTAAAAGTTATAAAACGATAAAGTTTGAGAAAAATTCGGTAAATCGGATCGAATAAAAATTTCAGGAAAATCTGAAGGATGATAAATTAGACCTGAAAATATTATTTCGAAATTTTAAAATGTTGGAAAATAATACAAACATTTTGATTTGACGATTTAATTCCATGTTTAATTTGGACCGTTGGATTAAAGTGGTAAGAGTGTAAGTTTTGGAAAAAATGCAAGGGAAAATCGGTAAAGTGTGATTTTTTTTGTTCATCTTTGACTTTTGGAAGATGATAAGGTTGAGGTGTCTTGGTTTGATGGTAAATATGAAGTTTCATTAAGGGCAAATTGGTCTTTTCCCAATTAAATGAATTTAATATTTATTAAAGCTTAAATTAAAGGTAAATTAGCATGAAATTAATTTAACATTTCTTGCCAACTTATTCATCTTCTTCTCCAATTGCCGTGAACCCTCCTAAGGTAAGAAAAAAAATTGGTTTCCATTTTTTAGCAATTTCCTTTGGATTTCAACTTATGTCGTGAAACAAAATATTGCTCTACGCGAGAAACACTATCTTTTGGTACCATTTGTGCTTGCTAATCTTGCTTGATTTCAAAGATACCAAATCTTAGGGTTTGTGTTCAAACTAGGGTTCCTGAAATCGATGATGAATCTTGATGTTTTTGAGGTTGTAGATTCATTTTCGAGCTTGTTTGATGATTAAAACATGTTCAATCTTCATAAAAATACTTTTATGATTTTCGGTCAAATGATGGAGTTTTATAACTTTTGTGTTTTGATGAAATTTTATTAGGGCTTTGATTATAGAGATGTTGTAAGGTTGGATGGAAGTGGATTTCATGCTTGAATCGAATCAAAATCGAGCAAAATCATGAAAAACCCTAGTTTTAGAGGTTTAAGGCATTCGACCATGGCATGTTTGAGTGAGAAAAATTATGGGAAAATTATGTAAGGTATGGAAATGATGTAGGAAGTATTCTAAAATCCTTAGAAAAATTTGAGGACCATTCTATAATTTTTGAAAAGTTGGGGGACCAAATCGGTAATTTTAGAAAAGTTGTGAATGGTTGTGTAATTGTTTAATAGTTGATGTACTATGTTGGAAATTACTGTTTTGGTAATTTAAATGAGTGTTAAGATGTCAAATATGACAATTATGAAAGTTTGAAAAGTTTGGTGATTTAAATGCAATATTTTGTATAGTTGAGGTGCTTAAATGTAATTATCACTTTGTAAATGTACTTGGTTTGTAATAATTTCAATGCTAGAATTTTGGTATTAAAAATTTAAGCGATAAAATGGTGAAGGACCATTTTGTGTAAATTGGAAAAGTTGGTGTCAATATCAAAAGAATTATTAAGTGTTGAAGTATTTTGGTAGATAATAAGTTTCAAGTATAATTATGGATTTTGTTTTGAAAATGTATTTATGTTAGTATAATACTAACATATGTATCAATATCAATTTGTGATTTTGTACATATCATTATTGATTTTGTTATCGAAGCAAATTAAGTATAAAAAGATTTAGGGTAGATCATAGTGAGGCACATCTTTTGATATATAAAGTGTCAAGATAAGTGCAATACATGTATGAAATTGTGCATAGATGTTTTATACATCATCAAGAAGACTTGCGACAAGTCTATATTGTTTATATCAGCATGATATTATGTCATTATCCATAATGTCGACATGACCTTAATATGTCAAAGTGTGAAATTATAATGCATTGATCATGGATAAATATGATACTTTGCCATTGATTTATTTTGGGTATGAATTGCTCTAATGTTAATTATATAGTCATAAAATTATACCATATGCCTAAGTAAATTGTTAAAGGATAAGGTATAATTGACATGTCATAGAGTATAGCAACTGCAGATTTATATTAGCACTATAGTGTGTAAGGCCTTTAAGTGTATATGGTGGGCACGACTTTATGTGTATTATGGTGGGCATGACCTTATGTGAATTATGGTGGGCACGATCTTATGTGTATTAGCACTTCGGTGTATATATTACTCGAATACTCAGGGTCTTCATAAGTTTATTTATGGATTATAGTTATTGGTAAAAATGATAATATTTATATTATATCATTTTATTTATGGTAAAATATTGGATATGCAAGCAAGGTGATCTTATGGCATTGGAAAATAACATTAAATTTAATTGCGTAGGTAAAAATCAGGAGTAGGAGTAAAGAGCGACATCAAGCATCAAGGAATATATTATTATATCAATAAGACATCCTTTAATGTAATTTTGACTTAGTTAGTGGCATGTACTTATGAATGTCCTAGTTGCTCTGTTGAACTATTTTGTAATGGATAAACTAAATTGTTTGGATAATATGAATCAATATTATTATTATAAATAGACGTATTTGATTATGACATATATGTTTTAAATATCATGTGATAGTTTTACTTGATTTAATATTTTTATATTATCAGTTACCATTTGAAAAAAATAAATTTTTTAATTACTTTTGAGTTGGGAAATGTTTTAAAAAATTTATGTGACACCTATAACTTGTATTGGTATAAATATACAGATCATAGGTGTTACAATCTTACAATCATCTTATAATCAAAGACTATTGGTGTAGTTTAGCCTTACATGTTTTTTTAACAAACACTTATATTTTAAGTTTTTTTGAGTATAATATAAAATTTCATCATTAATGTTTGTTTAAATAATGATTTTAGTTCATATTTTTTGAAAATATAGTTGTTGTATTTAAATTTGAACCAATTTCAATTGTTGTATTTAAACTTAAACAAAAATTCATTAAAAATAATCACTTACAAAAATAAAAACAACATTCTCGGGAAAATATAATTATTTTTAAAGGAGTATACAAGGCTGGCCCCCGGCCGGCCGGCCGGCTTAAACTTGCCTACCGGCAGCATCAGCGACGAAAGGTAAATATGGAGTCCGACCCAAAATACACGAAACCACTCCATAAACAAAACACAAACAACTAAACACAAAGATCCCCGTGTGTCCCCACACCATCAACTTGAACCCCAACCCAGCCCGACTCGGATTCAGTATCCGGGTCAGCAACAGCGGCACCACCAGCAGCACATCCAGCGTTACCGCCTGCATCGAATTGAACCTCGCGTAATGGCTGAAACTCGGGTTTCGAACCACACCCAGGTACAGAGCAAAGAACGCCACGAAGCTGGCGTACGGGACGGATCTGTAGAGGCTGAGGAAGGGTAAAATGGGTTCGAATAGATTGCCCAATTGAGGGTATTGGATGAACAGATAGCGGCCGTATTGGAGGGAATTGAAGAACGGGAGACTGTAGGATGCGACGGAGATTAACCGATCTGTGGCCGGAGTTGGGTTCAGTGACATGCGAGTGATGAGGGTTGGTGTCTTTGGAAGACGGACCTTGGGCTTGGGTTGGTTGAGGAAGCAGAGATTGGTTAAGGGTTTAGGGTTTACAGTGGAAGATTTTAGGGTCAAGGGTAGAGAGTAACACAGAGAAGCCATTTTTGATTAAGAGATGGTGATGAAAATGACAGGCAGGCTCTAGGGCAACATTATTATAGTGTGTACTGGGCTAACGGCCCGAGTTTTATTCGATTCGAGCAAACAAAATTTGATTTAATTTGAAAAATTAATTTAACTTAAAATTTATACATTCGACTTAAAAAAGGATTTTAAATAATAAAATATGATTTATCAATTTAACTAAATAAAAAAATCAATTTGATATGATTCAATTAACTCAAATACTCACCCTTAATTCTTTATTATTTTAAATTCATTTTTAACAAATCAGAATCGTATTCTCCTCTAATACTATAAAATATTCATGTAACTTTAGTTTTTTTAATAATAAATTTATTAATTTTACATTTTAATCATTTAATTTTATATTCTATTCAATTTGGTTTTTACTATAATTTTTCCACACAAAAAATCTCCTCATCAATTCTACACATTTTATATTCTTATTAATATTTTTTTCCTTTAAAATGCATTCTTTTAAAAATATATTTATAAAATATATTTATAATTTTAGATAACATTTCAATTTAATATGGAAAAGAAATATGAAAAATTTATATGTATATCTTATATAATAAGAGAAAATTGTTAATTCAACTTGAATTTCATAAACTTGATTTGATTCGAAATATTTTTAAATAAAATTTGAATTCTAAAATAGGATCGTAAATTCGACTGATATAAAAAATTTATCTTCGACTCAATCACAGTACTTGGATTCTCGAAGCTAAGTATATCAGGACATGTTCAATTTAGTTTCTCCATGGTTTTGGATGAGGTTTCTGATTCTTCGAGATCTGTCGACGCGATTTCGTCGAAAAGTTGGGATTGATTGTTGGAGATGATTTGTTCTGCAACACAAGTAGATTGGTGATGGAAATGCCAGTACTTTTCGGCATTTCGACACTCGAAACTTGGGAACATTAGTGATGAAAAATGGCATAAAACGGCATATAGACAATAGTGCATATTGTTTCATTCAACAAAATCAATTCTACTCTGGAAGAGAAGCACAACAAAAAGGCAAAGAGAAGATCTCTCGGCGGCGATTTCCTCAAATAGTTGAGATTGATTGTTGGAGATGACTTGTTCTGGAACCCAAGTATGATGCAAATGCCAATACTTTTCGGCATTTCAACACTCTAAACTTAGGTACATTGGTGACGAACAGTGGCATAAAATGGCTTATAGAGACAATGGTTCATGTTGTTTTTCATTCATCAACAAATATAATTGTTATTCAAATGGATCTTCTTCTTAAAGGCATCAAATCAATGCTTCTCTGGGAAAGAAGCACAACAATTAGTTTCCAAACCCTATAACAACAAAATCCAAGTATTAAACAACTTGAAGCCTACTCTCAGCAGATAATAGATTTTTGGATGGCGGAACCGATGCAACTGCCCCTCTTAGAGAACTCGAGTACTTCTTATACACAACATGAAGCCTGCCCTCAGCAGCCTTGGAATGGAAATAAGCCAGCAGCTTAGCACAATCCACGAGCTGTGACTCCGAGTAACCAGTGTGGAACTTGAGTGTGTCGGTCCAAGACTCCGACTTGTTTAGAGCGCATCGAGCGGCATAGACGGCCGAGGCAGCCACCATTGATGGGCAGAATCGAATGGTCTCATAGTGCATTATCCCCAACTCAGCTAGGAAATATACCATGTTTTCCATCTACACACAACACAAAACACATCAACCATATGTAAATTTTCATCTAAAAACTAACAAGTGACTATAAGAAGTAAAAACGCACTTTCGGATCCGGGATCGATGCCTTGATGAAACGAGCTAGGAAGACATAGTGTGTAGGCACTGTCACAGTCCATTCCAACCTTCCCAGTATAGTTTTCTCCATCAAAAGTATTTGTTCATGAGTGTAAGCTCTGTCAGCAATGCATACCAGATCATTGACCTCAGGGGGCCAGATTTCTTCATACTTGGTGGCAATAAGCATGGCACTCATGCCAAGCAGTTGTAATTCCCTCCTCGGGACAACTTTCACCGATAGGAATCGGTCGATCAAATTGACGGTAAGATAGAGAGCTTCGGGTGAAAGCTCGAACTTTTGATGAACATCAATCAGCCAATCAACAAGAATTGACCTCATCTTCTCATTAATGTCGGTCTGCAAGTGCATATAGTCATTTGGCATGCTCTCATTCTGCATTTTCCACAACATTTTCGTAAGTCTCAGCATGTGGAAAACTCAAAATTATAATTACAAGTTAGACATTGATGGAATTTGTAGTTATCTATTTGCAAACCTCAATAGATTTATAGAATTTGTAGATATCCTCAACATATTCCACACCAGCCAAGTGGTTATCAGCGTCTGCTTCGTCAATATCATGAACAATCTCCTCCTTTGGCTTGTTTGCAATTCCATGAGCCGCCTGAATTCCGAACAGCAACAACAAAGTCACATTTTTGCCTCAAGTTTTCGATAATAATTACTCGAAAAAAGATTCAAAAGATTGATTGACTACCTTGCTTCTTGCAGTAAGGGCCGAAGAGAAAGTATGTTGCTTTTTCTTGGATGATTCTTCCCTTTGAGTGACTTTGTTATTGTTCTTCACATCAACAACCTTTTCTTTCTCTTTTTCTCCTTCACTTCCACCACTTCATTGACATCCGGGCTGATTTCGATCACTTCTGCCTGCGCCGGCACCGGCTTAGCAACCGGTTTCTTTTGAACAGCTTTTGGCACTGCGGCTACACCTCTTTTAGACACCACAGCGGCTCCATCAAGAACAGGAGCTTTATCCACTTTTACACATACATTTTCTGAAATCCCAAACAAACGCAGATTTTGAATTAGGATTTTCTTGTTACTTTGTTATTTTTCCAGTAAAGGAATATAATCAAAACCATTCAAATCAGATAAATTACATATAAAAATAAACCTTATTCTTCTCGACGGCTGCGGCAGCTTCAGCATTGGCAAGTAATTGAGCGCAAAAAGACCTTGTGAGTGGACGATGAATCTGCCGCTGGGCTTTGCCTTCAACAGCCGCTCCTCTGACGTTCACCACGTTCCCAATATCTCCCAAAGCACGACGGCTCCTCCCATCTCCGGCCGCTGCGTTCTTATTCGTCTGATTGTGAACAGCTGCTCCAGCGCCACCAACTTCGGCCTCGCCTGCTAAAGAAATTCATCATTTCCTTAAAAGATTCGTACAGTTTTAACAAAACCTAACCAAACAAAACCCAAATAAAAAACAACCCATTTCTTTTTTTCGCCAAAAACTTACAAGATAAACAGATAAAAATCATTTCAAACAAAAAGAAGAAGAAAACAAATCCAAGCTAGTATTCAACAAAGAAAACGAAACCCGAACTCGCGATTCAATCAAAACAAAGCTAAATCCCTAAAATTACCTCTCCCTTGTTGAGGTACAATGGTTCTTGAAGCCATTTTTTGTTTTTGTTGTTGTCTCTTCACTTTCGATGTTCTCTTTCGCCTTTCTCTTAGGGCTTTTAGAGAATATAAGAGGAAAGAGGGAGATTTGGTTTCCTTTTGAAGCTAAGGTGAGCCAACGGGAATATTTGATTTTTTCAAAATACCACCGTTGGATTGTTTCTAATCCAACGGTATAAAATTACGCACCAAATTATAGCCGTTAACCTACCTGTCTCCATGTGGCTCTGTGTGATAAAATAAAGTTGCCCGTTTGCATTCTAGGGTTTTGCATTGTAATTTTTTTATAAAAAGGGTAAACTATATCACTTAGTCATCAACATATTACCTGTTTTCTACTTTGCTTATCTAATTATTTTTTAGTAAAATTATCACTAATGTTACATTTTTATTTTGATCACCGTTTTTCTAAAAAAATTATTTTAGTCACCCTCCATTAAAAATATTAATGGTGATGCTATTTAGGATCATAAGTTAGATTGGTTTTTTGACCCATTCGAATCTGACTCGAATATAACACCCTTCCACCCATCACTCGAATCGACTTGAGTTTAGGGTAGCTCACCTGACTTAATTTTTTGAGAACCACTGCCCAACCTGATCCGATACAATATATATTCTTATTTTTATTAGATAAATAATGATAAAACTGAAAACATATTATTAAATATAAATGTCAGTTATACTATTATTATTCACTCTAAACTTAATTAACTTTATCCTTCAAAGAATCTAACCCAACTCAAATCTATTTTTTATAAAATATACTTAATCATATAAGATTAATTATGAATTTCTCAAGTCGGAAGCATATCCCTAAATACTAATATTTCTTATTTTTTATGTCATTTTTTCCCGATCAGCATTAACATATTATTTTAATAATTTTATTCAAACTAAATACTAATATAATATTTAATATTTTGTTAAACCGTTTGTACCTTCATTTCTTTCTTTTTTCAAATTTTAATATAATTATTATTCGGTTAATGTTATTAACTCGTAAGAACAAACATAGAAGTGGCATAGTATAAAATAATGTCACTCGTGATATTAAATTCAATAAACGACGTCGTATTGGATAATGTTACTAGTTCCGTAACACCATACTCGTAACACCAAGATCCTTGGTCTATCCTTAGCCTCACATCTCCCCTTTAAGCTTGGGAGATTCACCCTCTTTGTCTTCTTCAGCCGGCGTCAGGGTCAAGTATCCGTGTTTGTCCTCCTACAATGTCATCTCCGCCTATCATCTTTCGGTGTCTTTATCTCTTTTTTGTCACCGGTCATGCTCAGCTGTTGCTTCGATGCTATCGTGTCGTCTTCCCTCTAGGGAAGCTTTCAATCAAGGAAAAAGAAACCTCGTAACCCTGATTTGTTCGGAGAATGAGAACGACGGTCACAAACTCCGAACGTAAGTAAAACGGACATTAAAAGAAGCAAATGGAGCACAGATCAAGCAATAAAATCAATTAAAAAGCAAAACATGTTACAAGTGGTGATTAGGCAAACCAAAAAAACACTCTGCCTAAACAATGACATTAACCAACCAAATTAGTAGAAACCCAAAGGGTCAAACCCCAATTTTACATATTCTTCTCCCTCATTACCAAACACACCGTACAAATATTGCACAAAAAGAAGACACTCTTTCAGTTGGATTTTCCTTTTCTACTTCTACATTTCATCATCTGGTCCCCCCAGCATCACCTGCACAATCACAACATATTCCTTCACTTGGTTTTCGAGATTCTTCGGAAGATAAACAAATAACGAAAACAAACCAGCTTTGTTTAGGGACGTACGTTGCAATCGAGAGCGTGCTTTCGTGCGACCATGATAGCTGCATTTCGTTCTTTATCTGATTCAAATGTTAATACATAAGAGAGACCTTTCCTCGGTTGCCAAAACAATGACTTGGCCCGTGCGTTAGCGTCACCTCTAGCTCCGCATAGCTTCATTAGGAACATCCGAAACGATGTGAGAACGGGTTAACGGGAAAAAAGTACTTACAGAATAATAAGTACATTAAGAGAAAAGTAAGATAATCACCAGCATTGATGAGGAATAATTTTCTCTGGACTTTGTGATCCATCCTCTACAGAGCTTGATCCTCATCTTTCCTATATTGAATGCGTGAGTCGAGCGTGATGGATGATCTTGTCCATTGATTTGAGAAACGACTACCTACAAAAAGACATAGTACGACGAAACTTCGATTAGAAGTGGACGAGACAAGTATTCCTATCATGTGGACCAGCTCTAGAAGTAACCAACAGAAATGAATCATTCATACATTAAATTCACTGCTGGATTTCCGCAAAAGCGTCTCGACGTAGCTTCCCAAACCTGCAGCTGTAAAAGTAACTCTATCAACCTTTCTCGCTTTCTTTTCTATTCATCGAAACACTAATGCATTCAGGTTTAAACTAACCAGATTCAATAGATTTGGCAGTTGTTGCAGAGATTTTTCGGCCATTCGAGAGAATCTCAGCCTGCAAAATTCGGCCAACGTCAAGTGGTTCTGGGGCATACATTGTTTTGTTGGCACCTGATAACACCAAAAACCAAGATCAGTTACAAGAGTAGAATGCAATGTAAATGATACAGGTTATCAAGCAACAATGTAAAGAACATTCATGGAACGGACACCTGAAATTATTTCCCTCCGATTTCCATCAAATGATAGTCGATACCACTGAATCAACGAATTTGAAAGTGATGGAGCGTTATCACAACACGGCTGGAGTTTTAAGCATGAACCAAGAGTTCCAGAACCATGAAAACCGAAAACACGGGCTTTGTTCTCCTCGGCCATCTTGTTAATTGCCAACTGTAAATTAACCAGCATAGATTAGAACATCAGAAATTATCATAGACCAGATTACACCAGTTTCAAGCATGAACATTTGAGTTTTTGAGATTAGTATCAAGATAAAGGAAGAAAAAACTCAACCGACCTCTTTCTGAAGCTTTGCTTGGAATAGAGATTTCTCTCGAATTTGAGCTCTAAGAGCAAGAAGTTCATGCTCCATGTCCACTACCTGAAAACATAATGCATATTGCAATGATCCAAAAGCCGCCATTACATTAAAACCATATCTTTAACGAAAACCTCTACTACTTTGCCATGCATGTAAACGTCAGCAAGAAGTGTAAATAATAATTGTAGGAGAAAACTCGAACTATAAAACTAGATATCAAGCTAAACTGTGTCGTCTTCGACGTCATATAATGAGAAAGAAGAGGCAAAGTGTTTCATACTATGTGGAAAACTAGAAAAAAGTATGCATCAGTAATGACTCCAATATTCTAGAATTCGATTGATGACATAGGTAGTAAGCAGTGTTGCGTTAGAAGCCTCAACATGTTGATTAAGCATACAAATGACGAGTGCACCAGTTGGACACTAAGTTCCTTAAAGCTAGGAGACGAAGTTATTTATCTAAGGCAAATTGTAGTTATGTTTTCATTTAATCACAAACGCACACACGAACCTTGGTTGGCTGATGCATCAATTTAATTCTTCTACCCTCTTGAACTTCCCCAATTAGCTCCTCAACCTCCTGCAAGATATAGCAGCAAAGATGAATTAAGTACCACACAATCTTCAACGTCAAAATATTCAATCACGATGTGTTATTTGTCGTGTTTCCAGCCGTGTTTCCAGGACTGTCTACGAAGAGCATTATTATTTAGTCTGAATTTGCGGTCTAAAATGCCATCTGACTAGACACTGTTTTGTACTCATTAACCATAACTTACAGTTGCTATGATGTATCTAGTGGAATAACTCAACTATACCTGTGTTTTTTGTGAATTTTCTGGATTCTTTTCTTGCTCGTCAAGGGCCTCTCCAAATCGCTGTACTACGGCTCTAGCACTTTCAATTTCAGCACAAGCAAAAGATTTTTCTTGACTGACCAACTTTTTAGCATCTTCAGAAGCCTGGATACAGAAAAGGAATACATTCAATTCGGTAAAAATTGAAATCATAAGACCCTTCAAAAAGATAATTTTGGAGGCAGGCAATAGAAAACTGTATTAGCAATAAAAAGATTCCTGAAGTTGTTTTCTTCTTAACAGAAAGAAAAAGCAAAACTGCAAGCTCCTGAAAAGGATGATCTTCGTTTGACATATCAAGAGAATGAAGAACACAATCCAAAACTCGACTTTCATGAGCTGACCTGCTTGAGAAAGTTTGCCAGTTTTTTCACTTCAAACTTTTCGTGAATCAGTTCTCCTTCATTTTGGGTCAATTTAACTGCCAATGCCTCAACCTACATGTAAGGGGTGAAAGGGATAGTTATTGCCAAAAAAATCAGTATTTATAATGTCTTAAGATGAAAGAAATACCATCGAAATCATAGAGGACATTTTATATCAAGCAGAAGAAAGCACGTTTAACAATGAAAACGCTTAGAATTTGTAAATAAAACACAGCTTCTATTGATATGTATGATACATTAAGCTTCAAACAAAACTTAAATGAAAATATAGAAATGATAAGGCAAAACAGCTAACCATAGAGATGGCTTTCTCTACATCTTCCTTGTTTCTCCCTGCCATACGACCTCTCAAAGATTCTAAGGCGTCTCTAAGTTTTTTCAAAAGAACATGCCCCTCCAAAGAAGCAACCTCTTTAAGCTTGGCCTAAATTAAAAGAAAACAAGTGTTATTCACTATATCATCCGTTGTCAATGAGACGGTTACGGTGTTGTCATCTGAAAATGCATGGAAGAAAAGAGAGTTAAGCAAAGAAACTATAGATGTGATCTTTCCATTCAGATACCGGAAAATTCCAGATCGAGTAGAATGGCAAAAAGAGAATAACTGAGTTGATATTTGAGTAACCGAAAACAAGATGGTTCCCACCTCATCAGCCAATTTCGCAGCAGCAGCAAGGTTCTTATCAAATTTACTAGCAGGTCACGAACTGAGAGTCGCTTGTGCTGCTCGGATAACTGTGTCGTTTCCCTTTCAACAACCTCCTTGAGTGACGGACCATTGTTATCCCCTGTTGGCTCCTCCAAAATCTGATTGTC